CAAGACTACTAACTACAACTTTTCCACACTGAATTTGCCCTACCCCTTTAGATTAATTTCAGATTATATGCATGCATGGCCGACTTGCTACCACACTTTATTATTCCTTCTATTTATAATTCACATGATTCATATCATGTATATATAGCCAATATGATTAGGGAATCTTGAACAATACCTTTCAACTAAAAAATAAACATGCAAACGTGTGTATTATTTAATATGTATCGATGGTATTAGAGTATGTTAATCCATATCATGTGTATGGATAAGTTTTTATTATTCTAATATGTTCATTCTAGTGTGTTCGGTTGTTGGTCAAACTAATATTTTGTGTTTTGAGAGGAGAGCATTGGGAGATATGATCAATGATGTGAGTTTAAAATATTTTTTTTGGGTCAAATCTATTTTCTATTTTGGGGGCGAAACTTTGCTCCACAGCCAATATAATAACATCTAAAGAGCACTAGCCGACCTCAAGGTGAACCAATCTAGGCCCCTTCTTAAGGAAAAAACTTTTGAAATCAAAAGAGGCGTTCAACTCATTTCTTTGACATTCTCTAGGAGACATTGATGGATTAAGTCGTTTGATGATTGTTGCGTTTAACGGTTAATTTTAAGCTTTATCATGCTTAATTACAATCAATAAAAGTTAACTTTAGTTTTACTTTGTTAAACTGATTGAAGCATACTAGCTAGTTCAAATCTTGTTTACAAAAACTTCTTGAAAAAAAATGAACAAATGAGTTAGGGCTTGAATTTTTTTTTTAAAATACATGTGACATTATCTATATTAAGAGGTGGGGAAGTGAGTCAAGTCTCATAATGGGTTATCCATAATAATTTGGTTCGAATTCACTTTTGACGAGAATCGAACTTAAAACCTCTCACTTACAAGTTAAGGCTTCAAATGTTAAACTCAAATAACACACATCTCCTTCCAGCAAATAGTAGATTGCTATGGTGTTTAGAGCAATTTTGCTATACCCATTGCATTTCAAGTTCAAATTCTCACTTTTTTTTAATTAAGAAAATCATTCATGTCCTCCCTCTTTATTTGAGTATGATGATCATTTTTTGAGATCTTAAATTTGTTTTCCTACTTTTCATTATATTATTAATAAAAGTAATAACATTACGTGATGATGGTTGTAATACATACACATATTTCTCCCTTATGAAAATAGAGTGCTTGATATCAAGAACGATCTCCTCGTATGTCATAAATATGGTGGCGATCCATAGGTGTCGCATTTTCCTCAATTTGGCTTTGGCTAGGTGTGTGCACATGCTGCTGAGGTCTGACCATTTTACAAGTGTCAAACTTGTTGGCATTGCTACAAATCGCTTTGTGCTTTGAGCTTGTTTGTGCGGGGAATATAGAAAAAGGGCCTACTTCATCAGGTCCTGATTTGACAATTGACAGATATGTGCGTCTCCTTAAAGAGATGAAATCGTCCCGGAGGCCCTCATGGGTGTGATTGCAGAATTGGAACTCAATCTTTCAATGCTTGACACGTCAGTTAGTAGTAAAATGATTTAAACACAGACTACACAAACATGGTTTCAGTCAGGGATGATGAACATGGTATAACATTGATATAACACAAAACCTTAATCATACCAAGCCAGTAGGGCAAGGATTATGGGTGAGGATGCTAAAGAATGTCCTAAACGAGTTAAGATGCTTTGCAGATTATCGATTGTTTTATAATAAGATTTCAAATCTCTTTACGATATTAGAGCATATTGACTCATACATGAATTTCAACGGTCTTTTTTAACACGTCATCCAATTTTTTGTTATAGGGTTGAAAATCTATCACACTTGAAATGGCGTGTGAGGATTTGAAGAAATGTCCTACATTGCCACACTAGAAATGTACCAAACTTTTCATGTGCTTATAAGAAGTTGAGTTACCCTTAATATTGCTAATTGATTGTATAGTAAAATCTCTACTTCTTTCCTTATCAGGCCAACTCCAACCCATGGCCTAAAACCTATAATTCCCCTTCTATTCTCCCCACAATCCATTCCAACCCAAGTTCTAATTTGGACCTAAAACTAAAACCTAAAAAAAAAAAAACTAGATTTAGGCCAGGATTTAGGCCAAGATTAGTGGTGGAGCCCCCACCCACATGGGTGTGTCTCCCACTTGTCTACCAATAAAATTGAGCCCAACGACTCTTTTGGTTGATCAACGACTCACATTCAATTGGGCTGTTGGTTATCCAATGGTCCACATTTAATTTAGTTAATATTTTTGTTTATATTTATAAATTTATTGAATCCAACGATTAAGATTGAATATGATCAAATCTAACAGTAAAAAAAAAAAAGATCTAACGGTCCAAATTTAAATTTAACGGTTAAAAAAATAATTATAAAATAATTTAACTCAAAATTCACCCCAAAACTCTATAAATACCTATATATTTGTTGAAACATCCACATAAAACTCACTTTTCTCCTACAATTCTTCCAATTTTTCTTTCTATCATCTTCCAAAACCATGTGTTTGCTCATGTGTCTTGTGTTTATACATCTCTATCATGTGTTTCAAATTCTTTTATAGTGTTTCATGAGTTTCATGTGTTTAGTGATTTTTCAATGTTTATCGGAATTTAAATATTTTTAGGTTAAGATGTTCATAAAATTATTATAGGATAGTCTACATAATTTTTTAAAAAAGTTAATTTAAAAGAAATTAGCCTAAATTTATTCTTTAATAATCTGAGGGTAAAATTTTAGGTCATAAGGGTTAGAGCAGAAAAGTTGTTTATGGGTTAAAACCTAAATTTTTTAGGCTAAAAATTTTAGGTTTTAGGCCAAGTTGGAGGTGGTCTCAACGTATGGGCTACAATCATGTTAACGTTTTCTTTTTTGTGTTCTTTTTTTTTACTAATCACCGTTTACTCAAACGCTAATCAAATACTTTGATTAAATGATTAAGTCTAAGGGTAGTTCTATTGATTTGAATTCCTCCCAATCTAGTTTACTTGTCCTTTTTTTTTATTTTTTTATTTTTTGGGCAAATAGTTTACTTGTCTTACTCATTAATTGGAATAGTTTGAATAATAACGATTGGTTGGAGTTACTTGAAAAATTAAAATTAAGATATACAATGAGGTAATTAACTCACTAACTAAGGTAAGAATGATCAAAAAATGTTGATGAAATTTTGACAAGATGTTGACCGATTTAATGAGACTGAACTGAGAATCGATGTCCTAACCAGAGGTCTGAGGATATTTCTTTTTTAGGAATCGATGTTGACTGATTTGGTAAAGACCGATCTGGTAACAACTTAATTTTTTATTTTTTACTGGCTACTTTTTTTTTTCCCCAAAGGAGAGGTCAGAGGATATTACGAAATGAATATGATAACACACACACACACACACACACACACACATACTGGCTCTTTAAGGAGAGAAATCTCTATTTTAGCTGAAAAATAAAGGGGATAGTATGGGAACTGTTCGATCTCTTTTAATTTGATTGTGCGGTTGCAATTAAACACATGCGGGTAATATTACAATTTTATACTTAAATATCAATAACTGAGAATAACTCAATATTCAGCGGAAGTATGGTAAATCTATTGAGTTTTTGATACAAGATTAGTGAATCCGTGGTGATGATTTAACTGTGCCAACCCTCACCGTACATTTTAGCAGTTTAAACCAGCTAACACCTTTATTAGGGTTAGTGAGGAGGCTGTTGTGTTAAAAAAAAAAAAGTGAGGAGGCTGTTGCTTTGCTTTTGGTGCTTACGAAAATATATATAGTTAATTGATTTTTATAGTAAAATTTTAACTTTTTTCACATTTGAATATTCAAGGTTGCATGAATATAAGCATAATATTACCACATAAAAGATGTCAAGAAGACATCGTTGAAAGAGAGAGAGCGGAATTGCAGCAGACAATTGAACAGTGTAGAACTTTAACTAAAAAGAGAGACAATCTCTCGTTACTCGAAGCCACAATCTTTACTTTCAAATTACAATCTTGCATAAAGGGATACTGACACTTTATAGGTTAAAATCTTCGAATATTAACTGCCTAGCTAGTGTTCCGCAAGGTCGGAAATGGTCGAATATTAACTGCCTAGCTAGTGAATGAAATGATTAGATCATTAGACTGAGAAAGCATATTAAAATAAAGAAGTTCAAATATTGATTGTACTCTGCGTATTAATCTATTTATAATTCTCAGGAGAACTGCACCTGATTTGGCTTGCTTTTCAAAACCCACCTTTGCCAGTGAGTTATAGTCATAGATTTTGGGTCAACTATATTTCACACCCTTTAATTTGAGTTAAATTTTAAAATGAATTATGAGGTTCTAATTTTTTTTAATATTATACTATGAAGTTTTGAAATTATATCAATTTATATCTTTTGTCTTTTTAAATATCTAATTTTCCATTCAGATGATAAGCTTCTTTATTTTTGTCATATGATACAAATGTGGCTTAAACAGTAGCCCATATAATGTTTCTTGTTGATCATGTCATCAATTTAGTGAATGATCAATTGGCTAAAGCCATAAATTGTTACAATTTTAATACCTTGTAGTATGGAATGAGAAAATGAAACTTCATGCTCCATTTTAAAGAGCACCCGAAACTGGAAAAGCGTGAAATGTAATCAGCCCTAGATTTTACGTATGAGAACTAATAAGTTACCATTCTCATCATGTTCTGAGGTTTGAGTTTAATTACGTTGTGGAGGAGCTATCTTGGCTGGCATCGTTTAATTTGTTGATGATATATATATAATTGTTTGATAGGTTGCAAAGAGAAGCAGTGCCTGAAAAATTTAGAAGGAAGAGTCTACATCGATCCAAACACGCTCACTAGAAGAGGATTGATCCACAGAAACAAGGACTCCACTGTAAATAAGAAGTTGAAGCATATCTATGCAGTTTTTGTTACCCGCCCGTGCATATGAAAATCCTAGGAAAAAGACAGGAAGAACTCACATAAAATTAAGCAGTAATTCAGAAGGAAACCACACAATCTTAATAATACAAAAGAAAAAGAAAAGAACGAAGAAAAACATCAAAGTCCTCGCACAACAATTGTACATGCACTCATGAATCGTAACTAAGCAAAAGCACCCCAAACTCATGAACTCACTTCACTACCTGCCTCAGTTTTAAAATTTGACCTCTGCCTGGTTGATAAGTATCATACCCTCGTTACCATGCCATCGATCGTGTTGTTATTTACATCCTCCGAGGTACGTACGTCTTCTACATACATAATTCTCTCTTTTTCTGTTTCCCTTTTCATGTTATAATTATCTTTGTTTTTGAGCGTGAATTAATTTAGGGTGTGAGCTGCATATAATCAGTAATAGCTCCACAGACGACCTTCTCTTCCGTCTGAATTTCCCGGCGAGTCATCATAATCAGATGGTAGAGAGTCGTTCATTCTTGGCGGAGACACCAGCATTCCCTCTGCCATGTCCACTAGCAAATTCGGCATTTGGAAAAGCTCTTCCTCGTCCATAAAGTATCCTACAGACGAGGCCAAACTTGTACTACTCATCATCATATCATCAACCTCGTGTTTCTGCATCTGTCCCATTTTTGGACTCTCCATCGAGTAACTATTCATTTGTAGCGCTGCGGCTGCAGTAGTGGCGGCAGTACGAATATCAAGTGCCGATGTGGACGGTGGCACTGGATACGATCCAATTAAACTAGGAAAGTTGAGAGCAACATCGGTACCTTTGAGTGCAAGTGCAGCCACATCATAGGCGGCTGCAGCCATCTCTGGAGTTGGGAAAGTGCCAAGCCAAATACGCTTGGTCTTCCGTGGCTCTCGGATTTCAGATACCCATTTTCCTCCCCTACACCGGATGCCTCGGTACCTGGGGTGCTTCCCGGAAGAGCTTGAGGCCATGGTGGCAGGTTTTGGTAGTGTTTGAACTTGTAGTGGTGCCCTAGCGGAGGGAGAGGGTATTTCAATAGTTTCACACGTCTGGTGCTGGAGAGGAAGAAGAGAATGTGGGAGGACTTGGTGCGGTGGAGGAGGGTGAAAGTCAAGGGGGGACACTACTAGATGTGGATCGGTGGGTGTGGATTGGTCTATTGTTTGATGCACGATATTGGAAGTGTTTGTATTTGGATTTGGGTCAGCCATGATACATAATCTCTCTATTTATATATAGATATAGTTTTATGTAGCTAGCTAGATGGGGATATATGTAAATTTTGGATGTGGGGATTATAGAAGGAAGGTAATTAAAGACATAACTCTCTGGTAGAGAGAGAGGGGGGTGGGGGGTTGTCATGAGGTCATGGTTGAGAGATTTGAATATATATGTGTGATTAGAGAGGCAAAAGCGTGGGGATTTCGTGGGAGGGACGCACTAAAAAAGTCGTGGCAATGCACCCAGCAGAGTGGTCTTGTACAGTGTCATGGGAAACTAATGATTTTAATTTCAATAAGTTTTAGGAAAATTGCAGCGTGCTTTTGGTGAATCATTAACATTAAGATATTTACTGGTTATGGAATGAACGTTTATGCTTAAATTAGGATAAACATTGAAATTATGTTGGTTTCTAGGGATTTTTTTATTTTAATTTTTTTATGGATCATCTAGTGGCTTCGTTATGGCAAATCACATTTTTGGAGTAATATAGAGGCATTTCAGCCTTCTTTTGATCACTATTATGTGATTCACCAAGATTAAGAATCAAAGTCAGGATGTGCCATGTAGAATACGGGCTTGAAATTCATCCCCAACCATGAACTAGGAATTAGGAAAGAAATTTGGAAGCATTCAAATATGAATCACCAACAGAAGATCGATCAATTTGACATGATTAAACAAGCATAGGTCTCTTCTGTTGATTAATCTATTTGCCTAACATTAGGAGAATCATGACTATTTTCATTAGCAATGAATTAGGTTAGAACCCAATCAAGTGCACCAAACAGAGATATTAGCATCTGGTTAGTGCTAAATATGTGAGCATACAGTATTATAATTACATGTATAGCCACATGTTCTCATGCTTCTTTTTGAACATTCTTTTGCATCCCAATTTCTTTTGGAATCAATTAGTTTTATGGTTTTTAAGCATTTTTAAGTTTTGCAACCTTAAGATCACGAAAAGCTATTCACGTTACTTGAGATAAATAATTTTGTTAAGTCAAACGTCGTTTTTGTTCATTGGTGGCATGGACGGAGCCAATGGAGGTTCACTGGGGGCAGATGCCCCTACTCAAGTAATTCATTTGTTAAGTTGTAGACTAGAGTAATGTAATATACACACGTTATCTTCGAAGAAAATATATGTATATAATATACAACATACCTTCATTGTCATATCCCAGCCCTAGACCCCCACCACATCCCAGGCTCGACTCAACCGTAGCACGATATTGTCCGCTTTGGACCCCACCACGCCCTCACGGTTTTGTTTCTAGGAACTCACACGAGAACTTCCCAGTGGGTCACCCATCTGGGAAAGCTCTCACGTGAACTCGCTTAACTTCGGAGTTCCTATGGAACCCGAAGCCAGTGAGCCTTATATGTATATTGTCATCTCTACCTAGCACAAGGCCTTTTGGCTCTTACTCTGTCATTCAAATTGAAAAAATCCTTTCCCGCCTATCATGTATTAATATTTTTCTCACCACTTTTCCACTTTCCACTACTATACTGGAATTTTTGTAACGTGGAATTATGATACATCATCATTTGAAAGCATCCCTATTATCATATTGAGTATAAACCACACTATAATAAGGTTTTCTTAGTTAATTTTCGGGATGCCCCCACTAAAAAAAAATTGTAGCTCCCTCCCTGATTGGTGGCAGACAATATTGAATGTATACACTCCTTGGACGAGATTTGGCCAACAAGGTACCCTTATCTCATACATGGCTCCAAGCACACTGGTGCCTGTCTGTCTCACACATGAATTTTATATACCTAATTGAGTAACTTCCCTTTAATGGAATCCTTAATCGAATTGGTTCTTTTGGGTAATAGCATTATTATACTAGAGGGACAGAGGATTTTTCCATATACAAAACTGATTTAATTATGTTTTTGTGGACCTTTCAAATCCATTATAAAACTTACATCCGAAGATGAAAGAAAAGCTTCATTCAAATAAAAGAAAAGAAAGTAGATATGATATAACCAAATTAACAAGAACATTGCGGTTTTTTTCCTTCTAAAAGATCATAACACTGCGGTAATGCTTGAAATGTCTCTATGAATTCTCGTTTCTATTGAATGGAGTTAAGTGAGGCAAAGTTAACCTGCGAGGTGGATCTGTTCGCTCAATCTCATCTATGAATGGTGACCTGTTCATGTTGGTCACATCCTTTTACAGTACTTCATCCTTGGTTTCAATGTAGAGGAAATCACGTAGTTGCTTAGTTAAGAGTCTTTTTACTTCTTCCTGGAGTGTCTTTGTTAGGGCAATGGTGGCTTAGGCTGCCTTCAACGATGGTCTAGAAATCTGAGCTGCTATTCCTGATGATCTGCTTGTTCATGCCATGGCTACGAGATACATAGGTTCATTTCTAGCTGGTGAGCGTGCTGCTCTTGGTTTGGCTTGGCGAGGAGTGCCAGTTGAACTTAATCTAAAGTTCACTCAAGGTTCTTCCTTCTTTTTGTAAAGTTTTATTTATTCTCTTCTTCTTTTCCTCTTTTATGACCCCACCATATATACCTTAAATTCTCAAATTATACATCAAGATCGTGTTATTCTTTAAAAAAAAAAAAAAACCATAAATATTATCTGAACAATGCTCTATCACAAGACCGAGACAATATCGAGTTTTCCCAAGATCTTTCATCTCAAATTTTGACGTTGGGTACGCGGTAGTTTTCTCAAGCTTTTTAGGAGTCCGATGAGATTCATGTTGTTGACATAAATCGCAAAATCGGAATGTGACTTCTTAATGAACACGTAAAGGCATAGTTCGCTATTCACATATTCTTGACTTATCAAATACTCACTCAGACGGTTATACCACATCCGCCCGGATTGCTTCAATCTGTAAAGTGAATGCTTTAGCCGAATAGAGAGCGTGTTCCATGGTCTAGAATTATTTGAACCAATCAATGTAAGTCTTTCGGGAGCCTTCATATAAATTTCCATATCAAGATCCCTATAGAGATACGTGGTTACCACGTCCATAAGTTGTATATCCAGTTTTTCAAAAACCACCAAACTGATAAGGTAGTGAAAAGTAATCGCATCCATAATGGGTGAATAACTGTCGTCATAGTCAATCCTAGGGCGTTTAGAGAAGTCTTACGCAACAAGATGAGCTTTGTAACACACTATTTCATTCTTCTCTTTACACTTCTAACGAAAACCCACTTGTAGCCAATGGACTTCATATGTGGAGGAGTAGGAGCTATAGGCCCAAACATCTTACATTTCACAAACAAATCGAGTTCGACTTGGATTGCATGCTTCCAGTTTAACCAATAAGTTTTAAGTCGACATTCATCAATGGAACGGGGTTCAATGACATCGCTTAGCATGATCTCAATAGCTACTGCATATCCTAATGCATCGTCGATTATCATCTCATTTCTGCACCAAACATCATCCAAGCTAACATAGTGGACTGAAATCTCTCGATTCCTAGGAGGAGGAATCGTCTCTTCCAGGACGCTTCCATAATGTAGAATTTCCTCATGCGATAGATAGAAGGAGTAGGTGATGGTTGAATTCACGGTAGGCTCAACAGCTTGTGCCGTGAGTTTCCTCTTCCAAGGTTGTGAATCCTTTCCACATTTCTAGGTAAGAGTAGAGGATTGGCTAACCCCCAATGCATGTGGATCAGCCAAATTGGCGTCTCTGACTTCTAGAAGAGAAGTTCGTCGTACATTTGGTACATCCATCTTTGCAGGCACATTCGCAACTAATAGTTCACATCTTTCTTCTAGAACAGTTACATTCTTATCTCCTCCTAACAATGGGAGACTGTTTCATAGAAGTGACAATCCGTAAAACAAGTGGTAAAAAGATCACGTACCAAAGGTCCTAAGTAACGAATGATAGAAGGAGAATCATAATCGACAGAGATTCCCATCCTTCACTGAGGACCCATTTTATAAGTAAGGGCGGCGCAATCAACACATGGACCACACAACCAAAGACGCGTAGATGCGATATGTCAGGTTCGTATCTGGTAATCAACTGAAGGGCACTATATGGTTGGTGTTAGTATATTTCCATAATATATATATATATATATATATATATATATATATATATATATATAAGATACAATGGTGTCGTATGTGTAGGAAGTGAAACTTCCATCTAACATGTCTCTTGGATTGAAGGATTGAAGAAATATAATTAAGGGTTATGTCCCTTGGTTATTGAATCATAATATATACATGAACAAGCAATGGGATTGTATCCATTCAGGGAAATGAAAGGATGCAGCATGTTATAGTTTTTGATTAATGGATGTATCCATTCGGTGGCAATGATGCAGGAAAGAACATGATCTTTTATATGCACACTTTGATCTATCTTCAATGAGTTCCATAGTATCTATATATAGCCCATGTTGGATGCATATTTGGATATACTTTTTCAAACAACAGTTTCTTATCTTCTTTTTTTCCATCTAAATCATACATTCCTTTTAGAGGTTTTAAGGGAACTTCAGTTCTTGCTAAACTAAAATTCCAAACTTTATTGTATCCTGGAAGTGATTTGCTTTAGACCCATTAGCAAACTCATATTAGAGTGGGGACAAATATCACTTTAAGGAAAACGTATTAATGTGCCTTAAAGTCAGCTTTTCTGTCAAATTCTCAACCCTATTATAACAGTTAGGTCCCGAAGGGCCTCAGGTAACAATATGGTTGCGTGTAATATTGCGTGGCCCCAAGCAATGATTTGAAGGCGCTCAACGTGCCTCAAAGTCATTTTTCTGTCAAATTCTCAACCTTATTCTAACAATCTTAACATGATATTCGTAATGGAGAATATGTCCGAAACTATGGCTTTGTCTGTAACGAACGACAGTGCTTTTTGGAAATCAACAAGTTTGACGAAACCAATTTCATGCATTGGAAGGACAAGATACGTTGGATGCCGACGACACTGAAAATTGCCTATGTTCTTGATCCAAATCTATAGGCAATACCTGAACCTAATGATGCAAATATTGAACAAATTATTGCCGACATAAAGAAGCGTGAAGACAATGAATTAATGTGCAGAGGACATATCCTGAATACTTTGTTAGATCGGCTCTATAATTTGTTTTCTACAACTCAATCTCCAAGGGAGATTTGGAATGCTCATGAAGAGAAGTATACATCAGAGAAAAAAGGGTACCGATAAATTTATCATGTTTAAGTTCTATGAATTCACTATGATTGATGGCAAATCCATTGTAGACCAAGTTCAAGATTTATTGCTTTTGGTCACAAAGCTTCGTGAAGTCAAAGTAATTGTTCTGGATGCATTACAAGTAGGGGCTAACATGTCAAAATTACCCCCTAGTTGAAACAATTATAGAAAGAAGCTTTTGCATATGGCAAAAGATATAAGTCTCCAAGATCTCTTCAAGGGGATCCAAATTGAAAAGGAAACTTGGAAAAGAAAAAAATATTTTTCCTCACAAGACTTCACTAAGATTAATTATGTTCAATAGTAAGTTCAAAAAGAACTTGAAAGCGAATAACCTAGGAAAGTTCAAAAAGACATCTTTCGGCACCAACAATGGCAAGAAAAATGCAACTTGCCA